GGCTGTCAACCAGCACCCCCAGGTCCTTTTCCGCCAGGCAGCTTTCCAGCCACTCTTCCCCAAGCCTGTAGCGCTGCATGGGGTTGTTGTGGCCGAAGTGCAGGACCTGGCACTTGGCCTTGTTGAATCTCAATACAGTTAACGACACTGAATATTGCATATAGTTGTTAAACACAAACTAGTTTCATTTATACTTTTTAAGGAGTCCAAATTCAAAACCCTAAGATGAAATCTCACTGTTATGAATCCATGGAAGCATCCATGTTTGTTCACATTCCCACACATTTTGGTGTTTCTGCTGTATGCAGGGAGATACATAGTTTTCCCTGGCTTCAAAAAGTCATGTGGTGCAAGAAGATGGGTGAGCTGTGGATTTTGTTTGTTTTAAAAACACTTGTCCAAACTCATAGTTTTGCCTTTGATTCTACAATCTTAGTAAAGAATTTGGCTAGACATTGAACATGTGCATTTTTAGCCTTAAAGAAAAATATAAATAAAGATAAAAAGGAGCTCTACAATTTAGCTATGACGCATTTGCATGCTTTTTCCTCTTAGGCTGCTCTGACTGTTCAGGGTACAGAGACACTCTTCCCTGTATGACATAGGCCAAACTGCTTCCAAAATGTTATAGAGCCAGGGTCCAAGTCACTGCTGCCATAATTTACTTCAGTATAGAAATCCAGCCTCTGCTGTATTCTATAGAGAACGAGCTCTACAATTTAGCTATGACGCATTTGCATGCTTTTTCCTCTTAGGCTGCTCTGACTGTTCAGGGTACAGAGACACTCTTCCCTGTATGACATAGGCCAAACTGCTTCCAAAATGTTATAGAGCCAGGGTCCAAGTCACTGCTGCCATAATTTACTTCAGTATAGAAATCCAGCCTCTGCTGTATTCTATAGGGAACCTAGATGGGACAGTGAGCTTGAAATTTCTGAAATTTCATAAGGGTCTATGGAAGAAAAGTGTATGTGCAATGAGGATTCAGATACCTGAACAAGCAGTGCGGAATTGTGCTAGTTCTAGAACAGTCAACATGTAAACATGGCACCATACCTGAGCTAGTAAGATATGCTTGGGTAAAATGTTGGAGCTATGCTACTCTTGGATTAAATTATCTTTTGTGCTGTAGTACGCATTAGAAACCTGGGAGTTTGAAGTCACACCAGCTTGAGGTTTCTATGCCATGGCAATTGCATGTTACAAACATACACTTAGAAAGCTGGATACACTAAACTCAGCAGTACAATTATTACGTCTGGGTTCTTCAGGTGACTTGGAATCCCAGTTTAAAGGTTGTATCCCAGTACTGTTGTTTCTGTACTCACATGCTTGGCCTCCCTAGGAATTCTGCAAGAAATTGGATAGCAGGTGCACATACATCTCTTGTTAAAGAGAATTTACTTGTGCGTGCTCTGTCTCATTAACAGACAGCACTGTATCTCTGTTACTATTAGTAAAATTTTAGTGAAATATTTGTCTGTTTACTCTTGTTGGCTGTTGTGTTCTGAATTTGATTTTATTCAGCAAGAGTTTTTCAGTGGTCTGTGTATTTGTTCCCCTTGGTTTCTCTCTCAAGCGTATCTGATATTCATGACATTGATCAGTTATAGATAGCAGTACCAAAAGAAGATATATAAAAGTTCAAGCCACCCCCCCATAGTTTTAAAAGCTGATGCACAAGAAATTGTCCAATTCTTAACTTTATAGATAAGTATGTTTTCCTTTTTTAAAATGAATAACCCTTTTTGTTTTGATTTCTCTTCTTTGAGCAGCTAGTGAAATACTTGTATGCGATACAAAAATACTAATATACAGAATGAGCTGTGTTTATGTGCTTTGTTCCCCCAAATACTATATGCTGCACATGATG